CTCTGTGGGATGAAAGCGAACTTCTGCTCGGGTTCCCCAATGGCTAGTTCTAAGCCTCTTGCTACCTGGCCGTTTGACAATGAAACATTGCCGAGTCGTATGGGAACAGGATATGGTGCACAAGCTGCCTGAACCAGTGTCGCGAGATATGCTGGCAAAATCAATAGAACGGCTAGCGAGCCATGAGCCGTCAGAGTTGAAGGCTCCATCGCCTACACGAGTCGCCGGTCGATAGTGGTAACAAGCAGAACACAACTTGACCTCCTTAAAGCTCTATAAATCCAAGGTGGTGATGGTAAACAACAGGAAGAACAGATTCTCCGCTGACTTCGGAAGATGGCTGTGAATCCATCAAGTCTTTCGGAGACTCGAATTTGGTACAGGGGAGTTGCCGGGCTTTGCGCTGCAGCCTGCCGTTCTTTTATTACAGCCTGCTTCTGAGGATCCTGGTTAAGGATTCGAACCCACAAGCCTATAGCCCTTGCGTGGCTTCCAAATAGGTGACACTACAGTCGCCCGGCCATGCTACACATACATGTATACTGCTTCGTTTTGCCTCAGTTATTACTGTTAAACATCTTAATGACAGTTCCCGAGGTTTCGATCCCAAAGTAAGTGGTATATGATATATCAACGTGTCACAGTATACTTATGACGAGTATTGATAGTGGTGGTAATGAGAGGGCAAAAGTTGGCGGATGTGCTGAGCAGAGACTGCTGCCATCCTTATGGCTTTTCAGTAGTTCAGTGAGTACGTACTTCTTCAGCAAAGAGACGAAAAATCATCGCCAGATTTTTTGCCATATCCGCCTGATAATCCTGGTCAGCGACAACAAGGTGCTACCAACAGCATTTCGAACTGATCTGCCATTGGCCTGCGCCGCCCAAGAGCTGGGTACTGACACTCTCTCATCACATCCTCTCATACAGATCCTGGTAAGATTTGGCGGGATGCTACTCTGTACCAACAGCACCTTAAAGCTAATAAACCATTGGTCTGTGCCTCAAAATAAATGGGTCTATTGGACGTGGGCAAAATGATACATGACCCAGGCGATTCGGACCCGACAAAGCCCGACGAGTCACCGCAACATATCTCCTTGGACAAGAATCTTGGGTTCTGGCAAGAACACCGGATCATACTGATTCGAAAATGGGAAAGTTTTCTGGGAAAAGCGCAACGTTAGGAGTAGGATGGTTGGCTAGTTGGTTTGTCCGGTGATACAACGGAAGCGCCCCACTTTCGCCGTTGGATGGGCCGACGACCACCCGTATCAGAGTATTGTGATGGGACAGTTTGCTGCCAAAAGAGGCCAGCCATGTGCCAACTTACCTTCTGCGGGAGGTAAAGCGGTCCAACACAACTCATATTCATATCCGGAATCCATCCTGCCTGAGCCTTGTAAGACCTCATGGCCCCCTGCAGGAGACTGGGGTCGGGTACCTTCTCCGTCCAACAGAAAGTTATCAGCGGCTAAGTGCATGGGGGAAACTGATGGGAGATGCACGTGGGTGGAGAGAAAACAAATTATTCTCACTGCCTTCCAACGGCTGGTAGGCCGCGCGGATAGAGCGCACCTTTCCTGTCGTCCGCCCACCCCTGAGCCTTTGTTGGTCAGGCATGCAGCATGTTGGTGATTATTCCGAACGGGGCTCAGGCTGCCTGCCTTGCACACAAGAACTGAACCCACCATCCAGCCTTGTTCGTTTGCCTGCTTTGTTTGTCTTCCGAGAAGGGAGCAAGTTTATCAACCATTCTCTCCTCCCCACCGGCGGGACTCACGTCACGCTTTGCCTCTTTCCGACCTCCTTTTGATTTATCATGCCCGGTATCAAGTATCAACCGAACAACTTTCGGCGCTCGGCTTCCTATGGGTTCTCCGTATGTCTGCTCACTATGCGTTCACGTCTACTACCGAAGAGCAAGCGGGCCGGGGCGGCGGCGCTGCTTATAATGGTTCTTCTTCACCTTCTTGTATCGTCGTCTCAGTCTACACAAACTGGCGAGAGGCTGTCGTTTCTCCACAACCCATTCCACCCCACACCACGGCCGCCTAAGCAAGAGGTTCTGATTTCTCTACCGGAACTCGTGACTTTGAGCAAGCCGGACCTGCCCGAGTCGGAATTCTGCGCCAAACGCTTCGGTCCTCGATATCTGAACGAACTCCGCGATCAAAGGATTCAATACTGTTCGGCAGAGTCAAGCGCAAACCTGACATGTTTCCACAGTCATACACAATCCAACGACAACCGCGACTCGTTTTGTATCGGCCAGGGCGCCGTACTAGACCGCGAAAGCGGTAAATTCCATGTGGACTGCGATGTGCGACAACCTACCGGCAACGAAACAGCAAATGGCATCATTTCCTTCTCAAATATCAGAAACTACTGGTACGACACCGGTCCGGGCTTCCTATTCCAGAACTTCGTCCACGTCCAAGCTGGGGCATCGCCATCCTCAGTCACGCAAGCGCCAACCCATCATGGTAGCCGCCCGTTCACAATCCTCGTGAAGAGGGAAGGCCACTCCAATATCTGGCACTCGCTCATGGAGATATGGTCGATGGTTATGTCCCTCGACGTCTTGCGTCTCAGTCACGACGGCAGCGATCTTAACAAACCTTTCTTTACCATCCCTGGGGATGTCCCACGAACCCAAGTAGTCTTCCTGGACAACCAAGAAGAAGGACCTCTATATCCATTATGGGGAATGTTTGCAGGTCGTGAGCCACTTCGCCTCAGCAAGGTCTTGGAAGACCCAGTGCAAGCCCAGGCCCTCGCCGAGACGCCTCAGAACCTCATCATTCCACTCGCCGGAGGAAGCAACCCTCTGTGGCAGAACGATTGGGAAGATAGAGACTGCAAGGACGCGCCGCTACTGAAGGTCTTTACACGACGAGTGATGCAGCAATTCGGCGTCGAATTCGAGACGGGGCGGCGACAAGGCAAACCACTCAACGTCACGCTCATCGATCGACGGGGCTCCCGCAAGCTCCTGGACCAGGAAGTCTTACTAGACGCAGCTCGAAATGCGTTCCCCGACGCCAACTTTCAGGCAATCGACCTAGGAGCGGTGACCTTCCCCGAACAGCTTCGAATCGTACAGTCCACCGATATCCTGGTAGGCGCCCACGGCGCGGGACTGACGCACACAATGTTTCTCCGGGAGAACGGCGCCGCGGTCGTTGAGATTCAACCGTCGAGCATGTCCCACAAGGGATTCAGGAATGTGGCGCAGATGTTGGGCCATAAGTACTTTAGCACCCACGCCGAGATGGTGGGACATGAGGAGGATGATAAGGGCAGGAAGAGAGGTCTTATCCGACGAGACCGATGGCACTGGGCCGATATTCGGATCGAGGAGGGTGCCTTTCTTGAGTTGATTGGACAAGCTGTGGAGGCCATGAGAGAATAGTGTATTGATACCCGTAGAAAAGAATTGCATTTACTAGACTTTTCAGAATGCCATCCAAATCGTTGATCGAGGCGTTGCTGGATTTGCAAACTTTGATACGTGGCCTGGGTTCGCCTCAGTTCACACTCAAACATACCAGGTAGAGCAATTTCAAAGAAAGGTTGTTTCTCAACTCATCTTCATTGAAATAGAGGATCGTTGCCTCGCGGTCACCTCCCACTGCGGAATGACAAGGACTGATTTGTAGCTTAAGCTTCGACAAGATCTTTCCAATTTAATGTCATGGGAGGAACTCATTGGCATTTCTGAGAGACTATCTCTGGTTGTGGATTTGGGAATCCGAAGAGCTGCAACCCTTTTCGCATACAAGTTTTGCAAAACGGTGCCCGACGAGGACGGCGGTCGACCGATCCATAATTTCGGTCAGACAATATTTGGCATGGAAAGAGTTTTGATCACAATAGTAAAAATCAGACAAAACGTTTTACGAAAGAGCCGTGGAAATCGCACTCTGAGCGACATTAAGATGCTGTCGGATGATCAGACGTGGTGTTGAAGTTGGCTTCCCCGCACTCCATTGGTCGCAGCCGCCGTTGACAGAGTCTTTTCATGGTGGGGGTTGCCGCCATAGTCAATTCCCCCACTATCCAACCCCTCCAGGCCAAATTTCATCGTCCGCATCACGCCCGACACCACTCCGCAGCTACCTCAAGATGGGCAAGAACGACAAGAAGCCGGCCGACAAGAAGGACGGGGGCAAGTCTGCTGGAGGGAAGAAGGGTGCCAAGGGTGAGAGCGACGACAAGGGCGGCAAGGCGGCTAAGGGCGCGCAGTCCATCAATGTCCGGCACATCTTGGTGAGCATCGTCTTCTCTAGCTGTGGGATTTTCTTGGGAATTTTTAATCTGACCACTGATGCCAGTGCGAGAAGCATGCCAAGAAGGAGGAGGCTTTGGCTAAGCTGAGAGACGGAACCAAGTTTGATGAGGTGGCGAGAGAGTTCTCCGAAGACAAGGCAAGACAAGGTGAGTGATGCCCATCATGAGCAGCTTCATCGAGGGTGAGGACCCATGCTGATTGGTTCACAGGTGGTGCTCTGGGCTGGAAGACAAAGGGTAGCCTGGACCCAAAGTTCGAGGACGTTGCGTTTGCTCTGAGCGCCAGTACAACGGCGAGCCCCGTCTACGGAGAGGCCAAGACGGAGTTTGGATACCACATCATCATGGTAGGAATCAATTACACCAAAGCTCAAGCCAGGTATGTACTGACTCGCGCACGCAGGTTGAAGGCAGGAAATAGGCAGACCCCGCTACGTTCTCATCAGTCGCCTCACAATATCAATATTGCACACATTTTGTTTGGTTCAAGAGTGCCCAATGCCGTTTCTCTTTATTTGTCCTTGATGCATGTTGACCTGACCTCCAGAGGGAGTCCTCCATTTTTTGTTTCGAGATGCCAGCTGAAGAAGCTAGAGTACAACCGAAAGATCGTTCATAGCGACGGTTCCAGATTTCCCCGCCACCCCTCTAAAAATCCTTCTCCCCATAGTGACGCCCAAATTCAAATCATGAAGTCATACCCAAATTTACTGCTCAGTCTGGAAGTAGTTGAGGAGGATGGAGCGCTCCTGGGACTCTTCACCCCAGTCCTTGACGACGACGCAAGAGCAGTTGACGACCTTGCGGGCGTTACCCTCACGGTCCAACACGCCTGTCGATCTGTATTAGCTATTGTTCATCTCTCGATACAGATGTATGGCAACATATGCCGTAGGTGTACTCACAGAGACCAGCCCACTCGCCGAGCTGCTTTCCGTCGGGCACCTTGATCAGGGGGATCTTGTGCTCGGAGCAGAGAGCGATGACAAGCTTCTTGTAGGCCTCCTCCTCGCAAGCCTCGTTGAGGACGCACATGTGGGCCTGACGGCGGTCGAGGGCCTTGGAAGCCTCACGGAGACCGCGGGCAAGACCGTCGTGCATGAGGGCGAGCTTCAGGACACCCTTGAGGGCGTCAAGAACGGACATCTGGCCCTTGGAGCCGGCATCGGCGGAAACCTCGACCTCCTCGGCCACCTCGGGGGCGTTGTTCTCTTCTACGTCCGACTGTACGAGATGCGCAAGGGCACTGGTTAGCCAAAGTGTTTTCCTCCGGGGTTCAAGTCGACATCATCGTCGTCCTCCTTCCCACGAAGTGGGATGAGCCGAATTGGCCTGCGCGCACGCGACAACTTCCAAGCACCCGGATAATCCCAATTGAAGGTATTCGCGAGCAGCCGGGAGGCGTCCGTCATTCGAGGGGGGCCACATTGGGGAGGGGTTCTCGGTGCGAACTCACCATCTTGAAAGTTGTTGGTCAAGTTCCTGTCGGTTCGATCCTCGAAGAGTTATGTTGTGTTGTAATTTGGGTAGTGTATGAATAAAGTGAACTTTTGGCGTGATGCGAGGGCACAAGCAGAAAATGCGCTGAAAGATCATTCGTGGAAGGGTCACTTCGCCCGTGCCCTTTCGAGGGTTAGAAATTGTGGGTGGTCCGTGCACCCACAAGCGACCAATTTTTTTCGTGGCAGTGTGGGGATTTCTCCCACAGCCTTTTGGACTTTTCTGCGCCCCGTCTTCCCTCACGATCTTCTCACCGACAAACTTGCCAATCAACCCCTTCAGCGGCACCGTTCAATTCACGAGGTAAGTTGAAACAAGGCATAAACCACCTTGCTCGCGCCCACCATGGCGACTTGATCCAACAGGAACTTCTTGCCTTTTCCTTGATGCCGGAGGAGAGCAATCAGACGAGTCGTGCGATTTACGAGATACCAATTTTATTTCGACCTCCATCTTCGCCTTGACGGACGATGCGGTAGCCCCTATGGTTGGCGGCTACCCGACGCCGAACGACCATGACATCTGATACGCTCTCCTCTTCAGCAACGAGCTGGCAGAACCCTCCTGTCGGACGATTGTCGCCTGGGAGGGCACTCTCCACGCTCAACAGGCCATTGGAAGGCTAACATGCAATTTTCTTCGCTGGCAGATACCTCATTTCCCGAGACTTGAGAATCTCCGCATACATCAACCGCCAAGATGGTCCGCACTTCCGTTCTCCACGATGCTCTCAAGAGCATGAACAACGCCGAGAAGGCCGGCAAGCGCCAGGTGCTCATCCGCCCCAGCTCCAAGGTCATCGTCAAGTTCCTCCAGGTCATGCAGCGCCACGGTATGTCAGCACAATACACTCTTCTTTCTACCTCTTCTTTCTCTTCTTCAACTCGGAGGACATTTTGGATGGATGGATGTACATTCGGCATGATAACTAGGGCGACCGTCTTTTCTTCCCACGACTCAGCCCCTATAAGATGCCGATAGATAAATAGCGGAGGTCTTACAACTTTTTCGGATTTTTTTCTCCTGATGTCTAAGCTTTAAACCACCGCGACAACATCGCTAAACAGCAACAATACAGGTTACATCTCCAGCTTCGAGGAGGTCGATGACCACCGCTCCGGCAAGATCGTTGTCCAGCTTAACGGCCGCCTCAACAAGTGCGGTGTCATCTCCCCCCGCTACAACGTCCGTCTCTCCGACCTCGAGAAGTGGGTTGTCAAGCTGCTCCCTGCCCGTCAGTTCGGCTACGTCATCCTCACCACCTCTGCTGGTATCATGGACCACGAGGAGGCCCGTCGCAAGCACGTTGCCGGCAAGGTCATCGGCTTCTTCTACTAAGCGTTGGGAAATCCAAAAGTTTTGATGGAAGAATGAAAAAATCAAGGGGCGTGGGACATTTGGCGTTTGGGGGAACAACTTGGGTTAGCCATGGCCGATACCAGAGGATGCCATTGAGCTAGGATCTCATTTACACCAAAAGCAATGAACTTCAACCAAGACCCCACCAATACGAGCCAGTTCTCATGTGTCAATTCAATGTGTGGAATGTTTGCCGTCCAAGTGCTGTCCTACGGTTGAACTATGCATGTTCGCTTTTTTTCCGCGAAAAGATATCCGCATAGTGCAGTGTTTCGCTTGGTTTCTCGGTCTTGAGCTCTGAAAGGTTGAGACCCTGGACTGTCAGTCTCCTTGACCGTGTACAATGGCTCAAGTAAGGCGAGTTCGCTTAGCTACACCTCCGTCAAAAGAGGCATGTCCCGTGACAGTTTGCTTACGAAAAAGGAAAAGTACGAGAAAGGAAAAGTCCGAATCGACCCGTGTCCCCTCTTATTCTTCAATCGTTTCATGAACCTCATGTGTGGATGGGGCGACGGCTTCGCAACCGTTGAAGCTAAAAGAAAAGAATGTGAGACAAATGGCCTGCTGTCCCCGATCTCGGCTTGGGCTCAATACAAGATCGATCTGGTGGACTTTCTCAACCAATGCAAATGTCTCGATTACTTTGATCATCGATACGATTTTTAAGAGGCACGGGAGAGGGTCTTGCTTAATTCTCCATGATTTCAAATCGCCTCGTAGGTTCCGTTCTTTGACAGATACCAGATCCACACGCCTCGGGAATCCGGCCGTCGGTTCGGTCGGGAAATGGAGCGGGCTCCTCCCGAAGAACACGAAGCGAACCGGACTTATGGGAATCGTGGCCAAACGGCTGCTCAACGGTAGTACATTGTACATACCTACTTATTCAACCTGTCTCTCACCTGGCGAATTGCTTTCCCTGTGTGTTTTCGAAACGACTGGGGCCTGATCTTTGGCAGAATCTTCATCTAGTTGCAACGCTACGAAGATCATGTTATTTCTCTTTCACAGAAGAAGCAAATCCAATGTTGTAGGGCCTCGACGCTGCCTGTGAGTTCAGTGATGGTCAGAAATTTTTAGGTAGGCTGATTGAATCTTTAAGTTCTACCCTGCTTATGAGAATAGCATGGCAGGGCTATAAATAGTGATGCATGAGGAACACAGCACGCACGCAGTATGCATATATGCAGTGTGAAAAGGTCAGGTCAATTTCAGAAAACTCAACGCTATCAGCGGGGAATGTGGGAAGAGGCTGATGCAGGACGAGATGAAAGCAAAGCCGACTGCCCAACACGGTGCCGAGACATTTCACATCCCACGGTAATTGATAGGACAGAATGGACCCTTACTGCGTGTCGTCAGAGGAGGAAGCTCTGAGCAAAGTGAGAGATATAGTCAATAAGAGAAGGTGTTACTGTCGCGTGCCATGTTACGTGCTTTTTGGAGTCCACATCGATACACCCCGGCTCCGAGCCGGACATACCTCCGGATAGCCTGCAGCGGCTCCCCTGCACCCGAACAGGGCACGTTTCAAGGATTTTTCTCTTTGCCCAGACATTTGGACTTTGTGCTTTCGTTCTGTTCTAGTTTTGCAAGCCATGGAGAGTGCCATGCTAGCTGAAAACCCGATTTCCCGATTATTGGACGGACAGCTTTCCCTCATGATGAACAGATGACGGAGAGTGGGCGGGGGACCTCGGGATTGGCTCCGGGAGGATTTCTGCTCCATGAGCAACAAATCATGGGTTAAAAACTTCGGACAGTACATGAGTCTTGAGAGATGACTGATTTGTCTTCCTTTTGGTCGCACAGAGCAATCCATAAAGACCTCTTGTGTATGATCTTCCCGCACTCGCTTCCGTCTCGCCGATAAGTGCCGAACCGTCTCGTCTTGCTTTGGCAGCGGAGAGAGCCCTGGAAAGCAATCGTCTCATTTTGACCGAGATGAAATGGAGAAAATAAGAAGGCTCCATGCAAAAGAATGTACATTTCTGGCGCACGTCAAGCTCGTCCGCTTGCATCAAGACCCAGGTGAATGAGCCTCAAGCCCGGAAACTCGCAGAACTCACTTTACCCGCTGGGAAGGTGAAGAGAAAGATGTGATCGAGAGACATATCGTGGCGGGCTGCGCTGTAACCCATTGACCCGCCCCCATGTCGACCGACCTCGCTTGGCGACTTAGGTGATTTGTATTACAGACGCGTGAGAGGCTGCTGGTGTTGTTTCTTCCCGAGTGATCAGCGAAGCACGGCCCCACACGAGGGCCCGCCCGATGACGATGATGGCTCGGCATTCTCGAACCTCACCCTCACACTCACACTCGCGCCTCAAGCTCAATCTCGTCCTCACACACAGCTCTCCGCCTCTTTTCCTCTTCCATCCCAGCGCCGTGGATTCGTACTACATCCGGGATGAGCTGCTTTTGATCCCATTCGTGTGTCTCTCATTCCTTAGAAATCAGGAGAAATGCCACGGATACGCAAAGCCCTTTTTCCCGTCACAAGTTACAACCGACCTCTTTTCTAGACTGCAGGACAAAGACTTTGTTTCGACATGGGTAATCCGGAGCTACTGTAGGTAGTTCATCTCAACAACAACAAACCCTGGTCTATCAATTCAAATTGAACCTGCCCGCCTCAGCTGTCGTCATAGATGAGATGAAAGTGGACGGGCAACTCTTTTTTCCCTCGCCGCGAAATTCCCTTTCCTGTTACCTTTTCCCAGTTTTTGTGGCTCACCTCTCTCCCTGTAGCCGAATACCACAATAGATCATTGGAGCTATTTTGGAATTTCGGCTTTCGTCTCTCTAACGTTGCACAATAATCACCACAACACGAAGGCTTTTCTCGTTTCCATTGTACAAGGCTACAGAACCAAGAAGACTATTTGAAGAAACGAACCACCAAACCCTTTAATGAAGCACGGGCTTGCACAGACTTGGGATGATGGCATCCATCGCTAGCCCAAGTGGCTTCTTTTCTTTCGATCTTCCGCAAGCCACATCTGTTTTTCCCGCCCGGGGCTCGCTTCGCTAGTGATATTGGAGCCCGCCGCCGCCCCCAACTGCCGTGCCGTTCCTCGCCAACCACGTTTGTTTCCCGCGAGCCGTTTGTGCACCATCGACCTCTGGCCCTCTTTGGATCACCCCCTTGGCCCATGTCGTCTAGATGTAACCTTGTTTCGTAAGGTGTCAGCACGTGGGAAAAGAAAGAAAAGAAAGGAAAGAAAAATAAGGCAGGCATTCCAAGTGTTGCAAACGGCGCTCGCTATTGAAGTTTTCTGTTCCCTTTTCTCCTCCGGAAGCTATGTTTCCAGTGAACAATACTGCTCGGCCCCCACCGTATGAGAAGAAGAAACTCGTCGTTTGGAAGAAAGGAGAGCCCCGCGAGAAAGAGTGTTCCCAATTGTCTAACCCAGCAGCGTGGCTGGCTCATAATGCACATCTAGTGGTACGGTACGCCGTCGACGTTTTGTCGGCCTCGGCCGTGAGACACAAATGCAGGCCAAGGCAAGCTACCAGCACACATCATCAGAGCTCCCGGGACCGTGGGCGCTTCTCCATTGAATCACATCCGAGGATTTCTAATCTGACAGCGCTGG